GATAGTGTTTGGAACACATTTAGAACAGCCAAATAACCATGTTCGCGTGACTGCCAACTCTTACGCACTCTTATCCTCGTAATCATCATTTGTACATATACAAAAGTTGCCCAAGAAAAAATTAGTTTCCGTTCCCTTGACTCGCTTTAAATAGAATCCCTAAGTGTATATACCTTAAATTTCTTTATTTTGCTTAATTTACACAGAAGACAAATATGCTGGAACAAAAATGATTTAATGGCAGTTCTATTGTGGCCATAATCGAAACACAAATAATGATTGGACAGTTCAATATTTTGACAGCAATATATATTTAAAGCTTCCAGTCTCCGCCACATGTTATGATAGGCAAACTGCATTACTTATCTTGACGCAGAAATCGTCATTCGCAAGCGCAGTCGGTCGACGTTATTTAGTGCTAATCATATTTCCATGTAACAGGAAATAACTACCTAAACAAATGATTTTGATTTGATTAAATGAAAGTCCAACCAGGCACGAGGTTACCAATATCGCTGTCGCTTTTATCCCAAGATGACAACAAAAAGCAGTTAAGTAGTGTACAGTCAATTAGTCTGTGTACAGCCAGGACTCGGCAAAGTTCTGAACCATTTTCCTGTGAACAACAGCTGAATTGATCAACCAACCTTTAATGCTTAAAAGTTCTCAGCAAGTCATTTAATCAACCTTTGTCATTTTATGGCCTTTGAACCAAGGTTTAACAGGCTCTATACTATACCAGTCTACCTGCAAGCACGCACTATTTAATAAATTGATCCATTTGGATTGAAAATCAATTTCGGAAGAGGCGCCCAAACATTTTCCGCCAGGAGCTAGGCTGAGGCGTTAATCGTGGATACGTATATTATCCGCTCACTCCTCAACGGGTCTTTTCAGTGACCGATTACATGAAGTATTACGCTTACTTCTACAATTTTAACTACATTAACTGAAAAATGTAATTTATACATGCAGGCGAGCATGTACAATCATTAAAAGGTTGGCAAGTGAGACTGTCCCTTTATAATCCACATCCGCATTTTCTTAATATAATTATGTACTACTTATTATTTCATTCGCGCATCGGTTGCAGAACGTCGATTTTAAGCGTAATGCTATACAACATCGCGCGGACTGAAAAAAGCCCGTTTAACAATATACTTCATGTCCTTGATGGGCAAGGACACGCAATTCGTGATCAAATTTTAATTTTATATATCCACAGTATGCAAGTTGACTTATTTTGTCTTGCAAGATATAGGCTTTGTGCAAGACTTGATATTTTGATACCAATTCAATATGAATTTATCAATACCATTTGATATCAACAGAATTAATCAATTTCTCGTTTGTCAAAAAACGTCGGTAAATCATAGTGTACACAATTATTTTTGCTGCGGGCGTTCTGCAAAGTTATACAAATAATATAGAAAATACTAACCACGTTATAGGCACCTTTTGAATTTGGTTTTTGTGATCCTGTAATAGAAACGATTATTGTAGCTAAAGTCAGCAAAAACATGTTGACCCTATACGAGATCTACGTCTCCTCTTCGTCACTGCTTAAATATAATGTAACTGACAATATGTAATATATATCATTTCAAGCAAAGACTAAACAGCTGGAGTTGAATTGATCTCAGTATTTGTGAAAATAATCCGCTACGTTTTTTTTTAAATCGAAGACAAGACGTCTGCTGAGGAATTCACTTTGCAGAGATCGCGGGCAGCAAATTACAGGACCTGTATATAGCTACGTATCTTAAGACTTAACGCATGAGGGGCTTGCATACAATATTAAACTATGTTATGTCAATTGGACAATTTCAAACTTCACATTTGTGTACACCCAAAACGACAAGGCCGTCACCCGATTTTTTTGGAGGTCGCCTTTGACCTTTCAAGGTCTTAGCTTTCACTCGTCACCTCCAACCAAGCAAGACTCTGGAGAAATTTTTTATAGTGAATGTCAGAAGTGATCAATGCGCCGTCACTGTCACAAATATGTTAAAATAATAAGTGATTTGATGTCTTGGTGGGATTTTCATAACAGACGGTGTTTGTTACGGGGACGGGGACAATCACAGAACCATCGAAATCGGGGAGCTGGATGGGCTGAGGGATGGGGCTAGGCCCCCAATAATTTACTCATTCGGGATTATACACTTCATTGCAAACTTGAATACTTTATTTTTTTTTTGCACAGACAGTTGCGTATACTCACGTTTAATAATCTCATCAATAATGTTTTCAAACTGAAATAGCTACTTTCACATATAAAATTATTAATGAAAGCGAGAAAATGCCAGTAATATTTGAAAATATGGTCACACCAGCTTCAAGTTCGCACTCACACAACACCAGGTTTGCTGCTAAACAAAATATTCAGTGTAGACCAAAAACTAGAACAAATTATGGAATACACACATTTAAGACAATTTCATCTAAAATTTGGGAAACTATTGATGTGCTATTTAAAAAACGAGCAGGAGTGTTTTATTAGGTTTAAAGCCACGAGCGCGCAGCGCGAGTAGCTTTAGACCTAATAAAACACGACCCGTGAGTTTTTTAAATGACTTCAAAAACTCATTAATAATTCATGAAGCAATTATCCAATCTTGAGTAAGAAATTAGTCACGTGCATACGTCTTTATACCAGCTAAAGAACACTTTAACAAAAGACCATTGTTATGCAAACTATATGAAAATTTTTATATAAAGGTTTTTATATAAAGATTTTTATATAAAGATTTTTATATAAAGATTTTTATATAAAGATTTGACTTATTATGCATACGTTTTTGAAGTCATTTAAAAAACTCGCGTGTCGTGTTTTATTAGGTCTAAAGCCACTCGCGCTGCGCGCTCGTAGCTTTAAACCTAATAAAACACTCCTGCTCGTTTTTTAAATAGTACTTCAAAAACGTATGCATAATAAGTCAAATCTTTATATAAAAATCTTTATATAATTTGCATAACAATGGTCTTTTGTTAAAGTGTTCTTTAGCTGGTATAAAGACGTATCCACGTGACTAATTTCTTACTCAAGATTGGATAATTGCTTCATGAATTATTAATGAGTTTTTGAGTATAAAATAAAAATGTCTGTCTCATGTCATGTATTTTCGGAACAATATAAACAGACACTATTGCTATCGCAAAAATTGTAATTTATGCATGTAAATGTATTTACAAATTTGTTGTTGCCAATTCAATATATCTGCTCAGTAATGATTTAATGTATTATTTCAAATAAACTATCAAATGCACGGTGAAAGGCGGAGGGTGAGGTGACCATTTGATTGGTTACCTCTGCCTCCCTTTTTCACTGTGTAGGCAGTGGTCGACCAGAAAGCGTAAAGCTACTTTGACCACTGCGTACGATTATGCTACTATATTAATACTTTGAAAGCTTTATTATAATTTTTAATTTTTGATATAAGTTATGTAAAATATTTGTGTACGTCGTGCGAATTTAGTAAATTGTAAATTGTAATAGTTTCTCGGTATATTGATATTGATTGTACTGGGGTTTTTATATATCTATAGAAACAAAACCAATTCGTTCATGATTGTAATTGTATGCACGGCGAAGTTGTTTCAAAACTAGAGGATAAAGGTTGCAAAAAGGTGATAAGTGAATTACAAAAAGGTGATAAATGAATTAATAAAAACTTTTGATTACGAAAAAGTTTAATCAAAATCCCGGAAAACGCTCTTTTAAAGCTTGCAAAAGGCAACAGTTTTCTGCGAAGCATGCCCCCTCTCATTTATCCCATAAATAAGACTAATACCATTAAAGTCCTTGCATAAGTGCAAAGTCTTTGTGTGTTACCATTATAAGACATATGCTGATTGAGGTATAGAGCTGATTGAGGTATAGAGCTGATTGAGGTATAGGCAGATAAAGGGAATACAGGAAGTCGGCTAATAACTTTAATAATATTTCTTTCTGCCACGAGAGAGAAATTGCTGATCTGGCGTTCTTCTTCAAAGTACTTTATGACAACTCGATCTCGACGTAAAGAGCTTTGTCTTCTTTACGAACAATGGGCTTGCACGGCTTTGTCAAAATCCTTCGCTGGCTCTCAGAAGTGCATTCCGCAAATGCAACAAATTCCAAGCTTCGTCTATCATGTTAGACATGGACCAAACGAGGATGAGGGAGCATAAGAGTTTGAAAGTCACGCGATCTTTTGGTTAGCTCTTCTTAATGCTTTCCCTAACCTCCTCCGCAGGCCTTTCTATGGGTTTTAGCCGGCAAATGGGCTTTGAAAAAAAATCTCACCAAAACTTTTCCGACCACCCAATTCCTCAGGTGAGACAAAATATATCATGACCGTGAAGGAGTTTGTAATGATCGATACAACACGGCCTCTCATATTGTAAATAGTACCTATATTGAATATAGACTATCACTTCTTAACTTAACTGACGACGAGTGCCTCTCAGGGGCAACTCAGGCAGGGGCGTAGGAACCGGGAGGCACAATGCCCCTCCCCAATCTTTTTCAAAGACTAAAAGTACCCTTTTAATTTTTGTGATGAAAAGTACCCTTTTTGTACAAGCTAATGTTACTGTAAATACTATATTACATCGAAGGTGCGCTTTTTGTTTCCTCGACACGTGTACGTATGCCCTTTTACACAAGCTAACTATGATGGAAATAACGAGGTAACTCTCGCCAACATTTCCGAGAAAATATTTTTTAGGTCTGTTAGGTGCATTTTTAAATAATGAAAACGGCACCTGGAAGCCGGTGCCCCCCCCCCTCCCCCACCCATTCCCTCAAATCTTTTGATAAATGCTTGCTACGTACGCCCCTGAACTCATGCAGGTAAAATAATTCAACTGAGTGAGTTCTAACTCACAAAAATAATTAAATTTAAGACCTGAAAACAATGATCTAAATTAATTTTTGCACCTTTCAAAACTCGGATCTACTATCTTCGTCACTGAATTTCAAATAGCATGCTATTGCATCCATGCAACAGATTTATTTACAATCTGGTTGTAGTACTTTGTTGCACCTTAGAGATTTCTGTTCTCGCTGTAATGATTGAATTATTCCATCTCAAGCAGCCAGTAAATGATAAAGATTTGCATTTCGTAAATGGCGCGAGAAGAGTGCGTCTATAATCGGGCAAACGTAGGGCGTAAAGAATAGGATTGGCTAAATAATTAATTGCAGCAATGGGTTCATAGTAATTAGAAAATCTCCAGAGCAATTGATCCTCACCCACAACGCGCAATTTCCAAATAAACTCCAGCTGTTTTGAAACAAGGTAAGGAAGAGCAGTGACGATAAGTATCACATTAAGTATAATGATAGATTTTGCTATTTCCTTATGTTTGTTATTTTGTCGTTGTTGTTGTTGGTGTGTATTTCGTCTGCTCTTCATGATTTCACGAATGATCAGTACTTTTAATATGACTTGGACAATAACAGTCAATTCCAAAACGGCAATTTGGGCAATATAGATTTTCATCAACCTTGAAAAATTGTCTGTAAACAGATATGCAATATTACTCAGGCCTAATGGCATCGCCAGAAACCAAGCCATCGCGCACAATATCACAGTTTTCTTTCTTGTTAACAAAACGCGACCTTTTATGGGATATTTTGTTACCACGTAAGTTTCCACTGTTAATGTTGCCAGGAGCATAAACGATGCACTTACACCAAAAGTCAGAAAGAAACGCACAATTCTGAAAGTCATTGAATCAGTAACATCAAACTCAGAAATGAGCCCCACGTCGAAAAAATTTGCAACACACGAAATGAGATCTGCGAATGCCAAATTAAGGATGGTTATCCAGACTCCCCTGCGCAGTACTTTCAAAGGATCAGCAAGGAATGCGATAATAAGCAATATATTCAAGAAAGCGCCAATTGCATCAACTACCATGGTAGAGATTCTCGTAAGTTGTCCATCATCTTTTCTAGATATCGAACCCTGTATATTGCAATTAAAAAATTATGCTCATAACACGCTGGACGTTATTTTATTTATACTGTAGCCTAGTAAACAGACTTGGAAAAGACCACGATGCAATCAGGACGACGTGGTCTCAATTTCAGTTCAACATTGAGAGCTAAGGAACTTGATTACTGTAATAAATTCAAGCTTTTTAAAATAACCTTAAACTGAAAACGGCTAAGTTCGGGAAAAACGATCCGGTCTTTTTTCCTCTTAGTCAAATAAGGAAGCTTATATACTGTTTGATTCAGCGCCATGTATAATGACAATTTAAAGTGCCTATGACACGAAATTTCACCATAGATATCTTATATGAATTTCACCCCATAGGTTTATGGTTGCGTTGTAAAGATCACTTAAAATGACTTAATAATTTCTTTTATAGAATTTTGGTAACTTCCTTTTCAAGATATTCAACTTTGTTTCATATGCACCTATATCACCGGTGTGACATCACATCACATAATGAGTTTTCAGAAAAGTATAGTTTTCTTGACGAATACGTATCTAAACAACTTAAAAATTGCCCTTGTATATGTATTAATTTTATAACTGGTAATTAACCCTCTGTATCAGTTACCAAAATTCTATACAAAGAAATTATTAAGTCATTTTAAGTGATCTTTACAATGCAATCATAACCATTTGGGGTGAAATTTCGTGTCATATAGGCACTTTAACAATTTTATTAATTTCCATCACACCATCACTGGTACATATAGAATACTGTTAACAGAATCATTTACCTAATAAGCTATTTGCAAACAGTAAAACCATGCAGCAAACTTGTTGGTTAAATTAAGTAAATATACATATTTTACTGCATGCAACTCCTGACTTACCTAGCTCACACTCACTCGTTGATCACGACTGAATAATATCTTTCAAATCAGTCGTTCTTCTCTCCTCTCTCTTAATCTACTTTACTTCTTGCTTTCCTTTCCCATATTTTTCCTATTCTATATTAATGTGTTGTTTTGTCTGTACTGTCCTGACTAATTAATGGTGAGGCAGGTGAACACCATGCATGGGACCTAGTCTCGTTTGTGCTTCTCCATCTTTGGCACGTTTTTACATATTGCATGTTATATTTTTGTGTTAATATGTGCTAGCATGTACAATAATGTGTGGTTATTTCCATGCGTGCCAAATGAAGCTGTTAAATTTTTAAAAATATAGTGCTTAGCCTACGTAGAAGACGGTTTTTTGGGGGGAGGACTTGCGGGCGGGAAAATTAGGACGGGAGAACTGTGCGCGGGCGGCGGGCGGACAAAAGGTCATAATTTTCCCGCCCACAAGTCCTCCCCCAAGTCTGCATGCTCTAGTCTGCTACGCAGGTTATATTGGGCTGCACATTTTGTTTGATAAATTCGTCATAGGGCGCTCTCCATTAACACGGCCGGACCAGTCAGAATGGTCAAATTGTTGAATGAAACACAAAATGTTTGGGCTTCGGACCTACCTGACCTTCGGACCTTTTGATAAAATTAGAATGAGTTCAATTTTCGCTAGATATTTGAGAAACATAGGCCAGATCTTTCCATTGATACAGAGACAAAAATTCGGGTCTGACCGGTCAGGCCATTAAATGGAAAGCGCCTATATATAGACGTATATATACATGTATAATAAAGAAATAGATCGATTTCTAACCAGGAACAGCTGCGAAAAATGCAGCTTTAGGTCACTGGCAGGAATCGAACCTGCGGCCCTATAACTTTTAGACATAATCACAGTATTCTTCAAATACCTAATCTTACACATATCTAACAAGAATCAGTTAATGTGAAATGAAAACTGCTGTTTAATACTGCAAACTATGCATCAGTTACTTTCCTATAATTCGACATTGCTGTCCTTAATGTCCATAAAATGCATTATTTGGCTCAAGGAGCAGGCATATACCTTTCAAAACGGCAAATAGAAAATCTATGAGTCTATCAGCAAACAAGCACAAAAGCTCACTTACCTTTGGATTCGTAGCATTGGCTTTGGACGTTGATTTCAAATCTTGTGTTGGAAATATCTTGTCTTCAGATGAGCAAACACACCGGACGACAATGATTATACACACAAGAATGCGGGAAAACATATGCTTATACATGCCGAGCCACATATTTTCTGAATAGTATGTAAGCGTTATTATAATAGAACCAGATTTATCTTATTTTAATTAACATAGCTTTTTTACAGACTTTCTGCAAGTTCCATACAGATTATACAGCAAAGAATCTATCGTGTAAGTAATACGGCATACTATTAGTGGTGAAAAGTCATCTCGTGTCATATGTCATTTAATAATAATTGCATTAAGACATTCATTTGTTTGATTTACTTATCATACCAATGTGACGAGTTGTATATTGGATAATTAATAAAAAACATTTTATTGCGCAAATTACTTAGTTTCTATGGCGTGAATTACCTTTACATAATTTGACATATATGTCGAATAATTGGAAATGTATGTTAAAGATTCCGGACATAAGCAGTCATCAATCATCATTTGCGGGGAATATCTTAAATGTTCATTCCTTAATTGAACGTATTTGATCGACGAAAATTCCTCTGTCGAGTTATAATATTTACACACGCAAGACGAGAAAATATCTTTGTTACCACGCATGCAAAAGGCAAAAGCTTTCGACTTTATCAAACGCAAGGCAAAGTTTTAAATTCACACAATCCACCATAATACGACCCTTTGCTTGCCTATTTGAGTGATTAAAATGAGACGCGATGACATATATTTATTGGGCATACAAGAAAATGAAATTTTAAATATGGTCACCGTTACTCATTATTGGCAATCAGTTGTTCATGTAATAAAAACGCCACGACACTGAGGAGCACCAAGGCCGTGAATGACAATCCAGCTGACATATATAAGCTCAGCGGAGTTACACAAACAAATTCATGCATTTGGTATTTGGATGCACAATGCGCCGAGCGCAAATATTGAAAAAATAAAACTGCTGCAGACCTGCCAACCTTGGCAACTAATATACTAGGGAGAATTCTTATTTAAACACTTAATTTCGCGGGAGAATTGGCTGTTTAGAAGGAGAAAAGCCATCATTCATCACTTTTCATTAGCTAGAGCAGTCAGATTAGTGGCTCGTTCAAACTCCTAGCTATACACTCGCAGCACAAGACGCCCCTTGTCTAATGTTAAATTGAGCACTATCTTGGACTGCCGAGAATAAGACATGAAGACGTGTTTTAACAAATAAATACTTCAATTTTGACTTTCCGAACGTTATAGAATCTAAATTTTTCCCTTTTACTTGTCTCCTATGCAGCCGCGCGTAGATATTTCTCGAGAAAATTAAATAAGATCGACAAGTTGCCAGTTGCCAATACGGGGAGAAATTTTTCACTACCGGGAGGCCGGCAGATCACCAATCTCGTACCATTAATACTACTAATAATCTCGTACTATTAATAAACGTTAAACCAATCACAGCACAGGAAAAATTCTATTTCCCCAGAGCCAATGCCATCCTAGCCCGCGCTCAGGCATTGCTCTGGGTACGAGATTGGCAGATCACAGGTTTATACCGGGAGACTCCCGACTATGTCGGGTGAGTTGGCAGTTCCGCTGCTGGCATGCGTCGCATTGCATTGCAGGTTAATGTACTTTGGTTCTACAGTGGAACCCCATTAATGTGGTCACCAACGGGCCGAAATAATATCGCCGTATTAAAGGGGTGGCCGTATTAACGGGGTGAGATCAAATTTCAATTGTGACGTCATTAAAGCAATGTTTATTCGAAAATCACAATAACACCATAACAATTTTACATTGTATTATTATATGGCTTTTCAAAATTCTCTATTCTGATTGGTCGACAAGCGGTCCGCAAAAACCCATATCCGGCCGTGGTCCGTATTTTCCGTATCTGGACCGGTGTCCCGGATGTCGTTTATCTGGCGGGAAATTTTCGCTTTGGAAACAGAAAATTTTTTTGCTTTTTAATTTTCCAATTGTGTGTGATTAAATTTCAAATATTTCATTATATTTCAAACAACCAAATTGTTTTTGATTGAGCATGCATGCCTACCGTATATTGTTACCCAGTGAAACTGACGATAGCCGATTGAATTCGCGCGAAAAGCATATGCTCACAGATTCAGTTCAGCCATATAATAAACCGATTATTGACCTCGTTCGGTCTGTACTGTGAAATATATGACCTCTGTTTTTTGCATGGACCTCGCTCCTTCGTCGTTAATATTACATTGTTATTAGCGTTAAATTAAAACACAGTCAGTTCCCTCAAACATTTCTTACAAACCCGCCAAAACTTCAAACCCGCGAAATTCCTACTGTGATCATAGCTGGAAACTTTGTAGTCAGGGAATTTTTTAAGAATTTACAACTACTGGGGCTTAGTCTCAATAAGGGCCTTCTCCCCACACAGTTGATACGGGTACATACAAATCACTCTGTGCTCAGGGGCAGCGCTAGTGCTATTTGAATAGGGGGTGGGTGAGTGGGTGTAAGTGAAATATTGCCTACTATAATTTCAAACACTAATTAGTATTTCTTTTCATCCAACTGGGATTAGATAATTTGCCGACTATCTGACAATTGGGGGTGTTTCACACCCACAACCCACTTTTAGTTCCGCCCCTGCCTGCGCTGACTTTTATAAGAGGAAATGTAGAGAATGCGAGAGGATATGAGAAAGCAGGCAGATACAGATTTTTCAACAAGGTTAACCTTTTACTAATGATCAAAAGGGCCCAGCTCATCTGAAAATCATGCTTCACTACTGGCGCAAGCAAAGGGCCTACTGGGGCAAATGCCCCAGTCGTTATATAGTTAAACAATGCCTTGTTTGTAGTAAACTGTATTATGCGATGTTGTAAATCCGATTTATTAAGTCACAAAATGAGAAAATAAGGTCGTGTTGTTTCCAACTTGGCGCACTCGCTGGCAACAAAGTTTGTCGAAGTATTTAGTACAATATTGATCACCTGCATGGTTTTGGTAACTATATATATATCCTGCATTTTAATGTGTACCGAGTGCGTAATTTTTATATAGAGTTTATAGACAAACAGTTATGACCTAACCTCTGTCCGCCAAATATAGAAAAAGCAGGAAACTTTGTTAATCAGTTTACAGTGAGTGCGGCAAGTTACAAACGGTCTACTTTATTCTCATGTATGATTTACAACAGCGTGTATTTCAATGTTGCCATATTTTAGTGTGATATCAGTGTAAATTCGTAAGGAGTTAGAATTTATTGTGCGGAGACGAGTTTAAGCATATCCGGCTAATACAAATAATAATACAAATACTTCTTTTAATTAACAGAGTTTTTCAGCTTATCAATAACAGAGTGTTTCGGTTTAAAGGTCTCTGTGGTCGTTTTTGTGGGTTACAACTGTGAAAAATTTTCGCGAAAGCACTAATTTCAGGTTTGTTGGAAAATGCATTTTTTAAATATGCTAAATGCATGTAGGCGGAAAGGAAAACAATGACGTCTTCAGCAGACAGCTATTGACGTCATTAGAGAAACCGCTTCCTGACTCATGCACCAATCCCACATTAACCAAAATTTTGAACTCAACACGTCCAGACAAAATTTTCATCACAGCTTGAAAGAGCATCACAAAATTAGCAATATTCCAAAGTTTCGTTGCGAAATGTTGTAAAATGCGGATAATATAGCCTTGCGAAATTTGCAATTTTCAGTCATTTTGTATAACAAACGGGAAATGGCCTACCACTTCCGTGCGTAATACAAAATGACTGAAAATTACAAATCTGGCAAGGCTATATTATCCGCATTTTACAACATTTCGCAACGAAACTTTGGAATATTACTAATTTTGTGATGCTCTTTCACTATGATTTAATTTTGTCTAGATTTGTTGAGATCAAAATTTTGATTAATATGGGATTGGTCAATTGTTCAACTAAATGCAGTATTCAAACAATGACGTCTTCAGCAGACAGCTATTGACGTCATTACAGAAATCGCTTCCTGACTCTTGCACTTCTTTAAATTGTTCAACTGAATGCAGTGTTTAGTAATTAAATATCTGCGACGTTTAAATTAAGTCAGTTAAACGAATAGCGAACTATACATGTATTCTTTGAATTCACAATGGTAAAGTATCTAGTTTTATTATTCGCTGTATATGCAGTATTTCTTGAAGAGAGGCTATTGCCAGTGGCAAATAATGATTACAAAGTCTGTTGTAAATGTCTCACGTCCCAATTTGACCAATATCGCTCGGGAAAATGCGAATCGTTTACGTGTTCGAGCAGTTGTGCCAACGACGCTGATTGTCGTCTTTCAGGGGAATGCTGTGTGTTAGGAACGGATGCGTTCAAAGGATGTCGACAATGTAGATACAATCCTGACTGCGGGTATGGAAAGAAATGTTGTTATGTATTTTCAGAGAAACAAACCCGCTGCAGAGAAAATTGTCTTGGAGTGTATTGTGACAGTACAAGGTCGTGTCGTGGCACTCAAGAATGTTGCCGTAATAATGTGTGTGTTAATTGCTCGAAGCCGGGTTGTAGGAATAATGACGAGTGTGGAAGGGGACAATCTTGTTGTAACAAAAAAGAGATACAGGGAGATTATTTTTGTCGTTCCTCTTGCATTGGAGCTAGATGTGAAGCTGACACAGATTGTGCTAGTCGTGAATGTTGCCATGAAGAGAAGTGTGTTAAATGTTCTAGCCTTCAGTGCTCTTCCAATTCTGTCTGTGGCTCTGGATATTGTTGTAAACGACGGTATTATTACGACAAAAGTCGGTGTATGACAGCTGGCTGTATTGGCCAAACATGTGCTCAAAGTAGTGACTGTGGTGGCTTGAACGAATGTTGTAGAGATAACATATGTGCATATTGTTCTGAGTCGAGGTGCAAAGATAATTCCGAATGTCCTCTTGGAGAATATTGCTGCAAGAGAAACGGACAGGCAATGTGCAGACAAACTTGTGAGGGACAATTTTGTAACGCAGCTAAAGACTGTGGCGCTCCAGGAGAATGCTGCATTGCAAATAAATGTACAACATCTGGATGTCACTGTAACTCTAATTCCGATTGTAAATTTGGTGTATACTGTTGCACGTATGCTTGCAATTCTAGTTGCATTGGAAAAGGGTGTTTATGGGACAACGATTGTGGAGCTCCAGGAGAGGAATGCACCTATCCAGACAGTAATTGTGTTTATAGTCATTATGATAAAAAGTGCCCTAAACTACCCGAAAAGAAATGTTTTAACAAAAACGGTTGTTATTCCCATGACGACTGCAATGTATTTGGTAGCGGTTATTACTGCTGTAAAGGGCAATACTCATTTGATGAAAGAAGCTGTAATTCCAATTGTCTCAAGAAATTTTGTAACGAAGACAGTGATTGTGGTGGTTCCAGTGAATGCTGTGACTCTAATAATCAATGCTACAAGTGTCCAAATAATGTTCCCGCATGGGTAATCGGCATTACAGTCGGAATTGCGCTATTGATTATTACTGCGGTTGGTGTTGTGTTCAGATATATTTATTCCAAACGCAAGCAGGAAAGGATGGAAAGTCAACCGTCTCAAACAGGTGTTATAGAAATGGAATTCCAACAGAATAACCGCCACCAAAATATCCATAGTGCGGGATTGGGTGCTTGGTTTGTCGACGATATCCAATCTTCCCTGCCAACGCAACCTTGGACAGGGATTTTACCCTCCCAGACTGTCTTGCAACAAATGCCTGTTATGCCATTCCAAAATTTAGGAATAAATAATCCTGGCAACGTAGAATCCAATAAATCACTTGCAGGAAATAGGAATGACGATAATGAAACAGTAATTCCAAGTGCTCCTCCCCCGCCCTATCCTGTTATGCCGCCTCCGCATCCTCCTCCATCTTATCAAAACGGCAAAACCTTTTTGGGAACCGCTAGACTCTTGGGCACTATAATGATATATCTACAACACCCATTGCCCTTGCTCGATTTTGCTATTAAAATTTTACTCAAGACCTCGCATTAAAAGTTCATGGTGGGGGCTTTGGAGAGATGGGCTGAAAACACATTCATCCCAGGTCTTGAATTGGAACTTCAAGACTCGGGATGCCGGGTCTTGAGTTTCAAGTCCAAGACTTATACCAAGTCTTGAACTTGCAATTCAAGACCTTCTAGAGGCAAGCATCCGCAGCTACCAAACTCATGGATCAAGCTTCACATTTCCTTTTCGACAAGACATTATAGACAACGCTGCACTCTAAGTTATGCGAACCTTTCAGAACACGGCTTGCTTGATCTAATGAATAAAGAGTCCAGAATTGTACCATTTAACTAACATTAAGTTCGTTTTTAAGATAATCAATTAATCGTGTCGATTAGTGTTGTTGTTTATAATGTACAGTTATTGCTATGAATTTTAAATGTTTAAATTTTTTATCAGTAAAGCTGAAAAGCCTGGTTTCTATGTGGTCGTAACGGTCGTAAAGATTGAGTCAAGATCTTTCTTAGCAGCCGAATTACAACATTTTAGAACTAAAAATACGTGGAGTGATTATAACTAGAGAATACTTATAATTTATTTGTAGTTTACAAGCAACCTCGTACCCAAGGCTTCTGGTACGAGGTTGGTTTACAAGTACTATAAACTATTATAAACTAGCCGTTGTAAAAGATCGTGGCTCTATTTTACGACCATTACGATCATAATGGAAACCAAACTTAATTAACGAATCCTACACAGAACACAACAGATTGTATAATGCCGGGAATCAAGGGGAATCTTGAGATGAAAAGGAAGAATGGGACACGCGTTCACCAATTATCCGAAATGCCTTATACATTTTCAAACCCGCGCTTTTTAAAACTAAAATCTTAAATAAAAGCGTACAGTGTTTAACGCTTTAAAAACTAAGAGTGTTTTCGTGATTTGACGAACTCGTTTGAGTTTATTAAACACGCGAGAAGTTGGAAGGTATGTACGAAAAAGCGTAAACATGCACTCGGCTGACCTGGGTGCTTTCTCAACCTCCCAAGTGCTCTCCCAACTTTCCGAACTTTTCTTAAAAGTTATATACATGTAATTTTATGGTTTAAAATGCGAGGGGTTCCTTCATGTATGTATTTCTATGAAGTAAATATTTAAAAGCGTGTATAGCCGGGCTAAATGGCAAGGCTATATTTTGTTAATTAAATTTTATGGAAACTGTATTTGATTTTCGTTACATTTGTGTAACTTAATTTAACCATGATATAGAAGGCGCTAAATTACAAAATAACTGTGAGAAAGGATGTCTTTATTTGACCATGTTTGACTACAACAAATGTGTTTCACCAACGCATTTTCCAAGTGCATCACTTAAAACAGAGAAGCCTCTTATTGCGTCATAACTCTTAAATAGTTCCGGGCCACAGAATAAAGATCCATATAGAAGGACCTCGCGCATGTCGCATTACGCATGTTGGCCGCCATTTTCCTAGCCAGTCAATGACATTTTCTGGCCAATAAACGCGTTGTACTGGTTGGCTGCTCCGCCTTCTGGCCAGTAAACTGCATATTTTTGCATAAAAAAACGCGGACACGTTGCACCGCTGAGTGGCCCTTCTGTTACTGATCTTTATTCTGTGTCCGGGCATCCTGCTTTGACTTGACGTAATAGATACAATGACTCTGTTTAGCTTGAGTAATGCGATTTATCGCTCCCTGAATGCATGTAACAGGGACGGTGCTACAATCTTGGACAAAACCCTTGAAACCATTCCAGCCAATATTACCGAAAGTTATTGAACATTGACAAAACAAACTTTGTCTCCCCCTCCCCTCCAGTTCAATGTTGTGAACAACGCCGAAACAACTTTTGGTAATATACCACCAGACACAAGTCAACAATGAGTTGGGGTAGCGCTAGCCTGCTCACAGACGTTGTAGTTCTTACGCCAAGCGACGAAATACTACCGTCTGCTTACCCGAGCGGCATATTCAATTCCCTTTGATTTAGGAGCCAATCATCTGGCAGTGTTCAAAAACGTTAGAGCCAATTGGAAGCCGCCTTATTGAGAGATTAGCTACTGGGGAAAGCCCTTGCACATGCATTGGAATATATTGTTTGGGTTGAAACTTGAAATTTGTTTACTTGCGTAGATATATTTTGGAAACTAAAGCGTTGAACTTCACGATGTTTACGTAGAATAATATTGTTATCATCTTCTCGCATGTTCAACAAACAATCGGTGTATATAAAATGCTAAAGCAATGCAGTAGGCGAAATTAAATTTTTTGTTTATAACAATGACAAACAATCAATCGGGAACCAGGATATGTCCAAATGTTGCTCTTGATACTTCCTATATGCCATGACTTCGACGAAAACTTCTAAAAGATTAAGCTCTCATTGTCATGAAAAATCATGTCTGTTTTTAAAAAAACGTTTTATTCCCGTTCCTTTCCGCGTTTTAACCCCATATCCGTTCCGTTCCGCATTTTAACCCCATATCCGTTCCGTTCCGCATTTTAACCCCATTCCGTTCCGCATTTCCGTTCCGTTCCGCATTTTAACCCCATATCCGTTCCGTCCCGCATATCCGTTCCGTTCCGCATTTTAACCCCATATCCGTTCCGTTCCGCATATCAGTTCCGTTCCGCATTTTAACCCCATATCCGTTCCGTTGCGCATCCGTTCCGTTTCGCACCCGCTTCCGCGGTTTAACCTAACCCGTTTTCAAACGACAAAAGTTAACGAAAAAACTCTACGAACAAACTTTCGTAATTCCATACTCAACTGGAAATCGCAGTATTTCGTCGCTTGGCGTAAGAACTACAACGTCTGTGAGCAGGCTAAATACCGCCCACACTCCCACTCCTTGGGACCTAATAATGGACATACATGAAGTATGCAAGTCGACATGAGAACACGTGAAAGCGAAAGACACTTAACTGATCATATTTGGACTCTAAGACAACAAAAAAATTGGATCTAAAATGCCTTAAATGCTTTAAATCGATATTTGCAGGTAAGATATTTGTTATTTATACTATTGTTCAACACAAGGTAGACGTTTGTAACTTTAAATTCTGTTATTTTTTTAAAAAACATGCCAATATACTGGCGATACGAAGCTTATAAATATTTAAATATGGCGCGAGTTTTAAACGACAACGCACGAGCTGAATATACAGTAAATATAGAACTAATAATTCTTCGTAATTTGCAAGTAATTGTTCGGGTATTTAATGTAAAAAGCGATAGAAATATAATATAGCAACAATCTGTTATAAATTAACAATTTCAAAGTGACTATATGACCGGCAGCCGGTCACGGTTTATCAAATACTAAATGGCCGGCAGTCTAGTGACTATAGTCACAGAATACTCAGAAGGCTATCTCCATTGTTTTTAGCGTAAGCGCTATTCGCCATGATTCGTCACTCAGCAAGTACCGTAAACAGAAGCAGTCCCCCCCTGGAAATACTAAAAATGGCGAACGTCCAGGGGGGTGACTGCTTCTGTTTACGGTACTTGCTGAGTGACGAATCATGACGAATAGCGCTTACGCAAAAAACAATGGAGATGGACTTCTGTGTTGTATTCTGTGCTATAGTTGAATATAAAAACTTTTGTTTGCATTAACTTATACCGAGCTTGCCATTAGCTCATACGGCAAGGGCGCTGCGTGCGGAAACTTAAACGCACTCGGGGTCGGGATGTGTTTTGTCTGACTTAGCATTGTTTTTTCTTAAATTTTTTTAAACTTTTTTTCCCGACTTTTCTAACTCTCAAAAGGTTAGGGTTAGGGGTTAGGGGTTAGGGTTAGAAAAGGGTTTGTGGTTGGGGATAGGTTTATCTTATAAAAATTCAACTTTAACAATAGTCACTAGACTGCCGGCCATTTAGTATTTGATAAACCGTGACCGGCTGCCGGTCATATAGTCACTTCGTAACAATTTTAGTTAATATTTATATATTGAAATTGAATGACAATTATGACATTGAGCATATAAACATCATTAACATGGGTCCTACTATACTAACAAGGAAAGCCTGTGAGAGCATCCAGGGATATACAAGATAGTATAGATCAGCATACGATCTTTCCTGAGTTTCTATGAGGCATTATATTAATGAAAAATAATATTAAAAGTGATTTTTGACCAGCCTTGGAACAAGCGCTGAAGCCCGGCCACCCACGCAGGAAGCTGTGCGAAACATGAGATTATAAACACAGTCAAACATAGACATAGGTTAAATAAAAAGGGAACTCCAAAGCCTCGGTACGGTACAAGAAAATGATCTATCTCCAAAATGATTTTGTTCTAGGAAAATAATTTTGTAATGTGAAAATTAGTCACAGCTTCCAGCGTGGGAGGCCGTACTTCACCGCTTGTTGCTAGGCTGGTTGAAAATCACTTTTAATATTATAATACTATTGTTTGTGGAAAAACCACGTAAATTTATTACTGCAAAGCTTTTGATCTGTAAGCCCGGATCTTCATCAGTGCTAATAATAATGATAATAATTATTTTACTTTAACTGCTGTAATATCGCTCTATAGCCAAAATGACCTACTTTACATTTTATTATTTTAAGCAGGAAAGTATACTGTATAAAGTTGTCACAACTTCGTTTATAAAGTTTGCTATTCGGATACAAGAAAGCTAAACAAATTGAAACAAAGCTGACATATGTGCAAACGCACTGTACGGCAAATGAATTATTTCCATTCTTATTCTGTGATCCAACAGTCGTCTCGACATCATGTCATCAACATGGCCGGATTTTAAGGGGAGGTGTGTGGAGGTGTGCACCTCCCCTGAGATTGTTTTGCACCTCCCTCAACCTCCACCTCCCCTGAAAAGTGATGCACTTCTCCTTGGGAAAGTTTCGATGATAGATCAAAGTGAAAATTTGACATGTTTTGGTTGCTTAGGGTCTACACTTCGAAAGAATGTTTTTCTGTAAAATTGAAACAGTGATAGTCAATTCATCTCTGTATCAAGTACCTTATAAAGCAATGTGTTGTAAGAAAATGTGTGGTAATTGTAATTGTAATGAATTGTACAGTCATAATTCCTTTATGGTACTGATACATGGTCATGTCACGTCGTTGACTTTGGCCTGTTCTAAGACCTAACTTTCCATGGGGTTGGTGAGCTAGCCTGCTGCAACTCCCCTAAATTTTTCCACCTTACCCACTATTTCCATCAGAATCTGGCCTTGGTCTTCAATTTTCTCAGTGTGTAAACATACTGTAGTAACAACATACAGTGTACTCAAGAATTATGTAGAGTCAGCCACAACGGGTGCAGCTGAAAATCTAGGCAGGGCTGGAGGGATGGAAAAAACTTTACTTTTTCGGCCACAAGAGGTTCATTGAAAAAGCTTCTGCAAGTAGTCAGTAAATCGACACTTAGACACTGTAACTTTGTAACATGAACAAGTTGTCAAATTAAATGTCATGTCATATTCTAATAGAAAAAAATTCAGTACACTGAGAGTCTTAATAACATTTACGAATATAACGCAAAACCAATTTAGATAACATCTGAATTGGGTCTGATCCTAAGGTAAATTTACAAATGTCCAAAAAAGAGCACTACTGTGGATCACTAATAGGGGGATCTGGGGTAAGCTTCCTCAGAGAATTTTGAAAATCAGATATCTCAGCTTGGCTAAAAATACATTTGCCATACAACATTTGTTACATCATTCTATGGTCTATACATTTATACACGGTTGCACTACAGTATTAAGATGGATGCACTCACAGTATAATTGCGTTTCTGAAGTCATACAGTACAGGTAATATTTTTTCATTCTTTTCCTCTGCATTTTTCCTATGAAGATCTATTTTTTTACAATTGTCCAGGCCTTAAAATATCTTTTACAGGGCCGTCTGACGAAATGTCCGATGACGTTGAGTTTGGGTCGGACACATGTCCGATGACCTTAAGTTCAGTTTTGACTCGGAAATAAGTCTGAATGACACAAATGAATATCAGCACAATGTATTAATTCTGAACGGTAAATGTCGTGAAGATATTAAAAAGTTTGTTTCTGTCATACATATTTCCAAGCGAAAATTAACTTGCTTTCCAGAAGAGCAGTATTGAAAAGACTTCGACAACTTAAGCCCGTTTTCAACTTCACCATTTCGCTTGCCGCCTCGCGCTCGACTATGTTAAAACAACATTTCCAGTTCACCTTTTATACAATAGCACTCTCCATGGTCTGATACATACATGTACTTTTTCCACGCCTGCTGGGCTGGGGGGTGAAACTTTCTTTCT